TTTTTTTTTTTTTTGAGACGGGGTCTCGCTCTCTCGCCCAGGCTGGAGCGCAGTGGCGCAATCTCCACTCACTGCAAGCTCTGCCTCCTGGGTTCACGCCATTCTCCTATCTCAGACTCCCGCTAATTTTTTTTGTATTTTTAGTCAAGACGAAGTTTCAGCATGTTGGTCAGGCTGGTCTCGAACTCCTGACCTTGTGATCCACCCACCTCAACTTCTCAAAGTTCTGGGATTACAGGTGTGAACCACCACATCCAGTCAGAAATATCTTTATATTAGAAAAATTAGGCCAGTGACTCACACCCTGTAATCCCAACACTTTGGGAAACTGAGGGGACAGGATCATTTGAGGCCAAGAGTTTGAGACCAGTGTCTACTGTTCTCTTTTTTTTTTTTTTTGAGACAGGGTCTCACTCTTGTCACCCACACTGGAGTGCAGTGGCGTGATCTCAACTCACTACAACCTCTGCCTCTTGGGTTCAAGCAATTCTCCTGCCTCAGTCTCCCGAGTAGCGGGGATTACAGGTGCGCACTACCACACCTGGCAAATTTTTTTTGTATTTTTAGTAGAGATGGGGTTTCACCATGTTGGCCGAGCTGGTCCCAAACACCTGACCTCAAGTGATCCACCTGCCTCGGCCTCCCAAAGTGCTGGGATTACAGGCATGAGCCACCGTGCCTGGCCTACTGTTCTCATCTTCATATCTGTGTGTACCCAGTTCCTCCCCATTCAGCTGGTCATTGAGAGACCTGTCAAATTTTCTTCCTAAATAATTTTTGGATCTGCCCTTCACCATCCTTGATGGTGAAATGCCAGGTGGAACCTTTATTTCCTATTTGAATCATAATAGTTTCATTGATTTTTCTGCCTTGCTCTTTGCAGAACCATTCATTATATCTTCACCTTACCATTTCCATTCCCCTACTAACATGTTAACCCTGGGTAGACAGTTAATAAGCCTTTATAACAGGGGCAATCATCCATTCTCACCAATTCCATTTATTCTCATTTTCAATGAATGATATCAAGGGGTCTTCTCATTAACTCCTCAAATAGTATATACAGAGTTACTGTGGCAGTGAATCACCATTGCTTTTTTTTTTTAGTACATTTTTTTTCCTGCAGTGTATTTTGCTGGAACTATTGCTGCTAATTAACGGTTGGTTTTATTAAAAACAATTTTAATAGCTTGCAGCTATTTGCTTTGCCCATTTATAGGAGTTAATTGTGGTCTCACTCCTGCTGAGTGATTCCCTAACACAATATGCCTGTGATTCTTTACAGAATAAACTATGTTGTCCTGTTTCTTGGAAATCACAGGATTAATTAACTGAGAAGATGTTAGATTGAATTTTAAACCAAAGTCAGATGAAGGCTTACTGGCACAAATTTTGACTAATGTCTTATATATTTAATTTGCTGAAGTCAAAATATACTATTGGTAATGCATTCAGAGCTAGGTTTGGGGTTTCTTTATTCTTCTCTGTAGTCTTTAGGGTATAGTTCTTATTTCTCATTTTGCCCTTCCTTTCAGTTCCCCAAGGCTTGTCTGTTGATATTCACAGACTCTAGATGGGTCTTTACTTACATTTCTAAAAAATATTATTGTTATTCACAGTGAATGCATTTTAGCAGCAGTTTGAGTGCTTCTTTTTCAGTTTTCCAGAGTATCAGGAAATGCACTGGTGATAGTTTTATCCATTGTAATCAGTCCTTGCTATTTCGGTTTCTCCTGTGTAACACTAGACTCCATGGTCCCTCATTATACTAGATTTGGCAAATATCTGACAACTACATTGCTCAAGTCAGGCTTTAGGTCACCTTCAAACCCTAGGACAACCATTACCACTTAGGGAAAGCAACATGATGTAATATAAAAGACCTAGGAAATGGTCAAGAGACTTGGTTCTATCACTCACTAGCCTTGTGACCTTAATCAAACAATTTCACCTTTGAGGCAGGGGCCAGGGGAGATTTGGTTTCTTTATTGATTAAATATGGGGGTTAGACTGGATGCTCCTCCACACACTTCCCAGTATGAATGCCATTGGTACATTGAAATTGGGCTAGTCCTAGTCACCTTGCTTTAGTTGGAGGTCCAGAGGGCAGTTCTTGGCCCTCTCACAGTTCAGATCCACTCATAGGAGCTAAAATGGACTAAAGTCGAGGCACTAGTGTGAACCCAGGCACTTTGTGACTCCATAAAGCCTGCCATCTCTGGAACTGTGATGACTTCAGTTTGACCCAGGTATGAGAGAGTCATCACAATTCCAAAAGATCTTAAAGCCAGGAAGTGACATTCTACAGATTTGAACCCAATTCTAAATTCATATTGTTTTCGTTATATCCCTTGCTTCTTCCACAGAGTAAAGATTACAACACTGGTGCTTTTATCATCTTTAATGAATTGGGGATATGGCTTATAAAGAGTAAAAATTACAGTAGATACATAAAATAAAAGAATTTGGCTGGGCGCCATGGCTTATGCCTATAATCCCAGCACTTTGGGAGTCCAAGGCGGGTGGATCACTTGAGCCCAGGAGTTTGAGACTATCCTGGACAACATAGTCCCATCCTACAAAAAATACAACAAGCCCCATCCTACAAAAAATACAAAAATTAGCTGGGCATGGTGGCGTGCGCCTCTGGTCCCAGCTACTCCAGAGGCTGAGGTGGGAGGATTGCTTGAGTCCAGGAGGTTGAGGCTGCAGTGAGTTGTGTTCACACCACTGCACTCCAGCCTGGGTAACAGAGCAAGACCCTGTCTCAAAAAGAAAAGAAAAGAATCCTCTGACAACAATTATTGCATGAAATCTTTTTTTCAGATATCTTTATAAACAGTCATAAAAGTATATAAAACCTAGGTACAATATAAAAAATAATTATAGATCAATCTAATGTGGCTGCCACCCATGTTAACAGACCATTGCTCACACCCCAAAAACCCTACGTGCCCCTTGCAAATCACAGCCCTTCTACCTCTCCCCAAGAGGTAACCACCATTCTGACTCTCAGGATAAGTACTTCCTTGTTTTTCATTGCAATTTTACAGTGTGTGTACCTATCCTCAAACAATATAGTTGTTTTGCCCATTTCTGAACTTTATATAGATCATACAATATGTACTTGTTAGTGCTTTGCTTCGTTTGCTCAGTATTATATTTGTGAGATCCATCCATGTTGTGGCATGTAACTATAGTTCATTCATTTTCATTGCTTTATTTTACTCCATTATAGGAATAGACCACAATTTATTTATCCATCCTTCTGCTAATAGATATTTGGGTGATTTCCAATTTGGGGTTATTGAAGGACAGTACTATCCTGAACATTCTTGTATATGTCCTCCCTTGGGACACATATGTGGGAGCTTCTCTGGGCATATTCCTAGGAGTGTAATTGTTGGTCATAGGGTATGCAGATTTTCAACCCACTGTGACTGCTGAACTTAATTATCACTGGCACTTTTAATCCATACATTTTTAATGAAAATTTAGTCTTCTGTTCTCATCTAAAAGGGTTTGTCTTTCCTATAGAAAAATGCAAGAATGGCAGCAGAAAAGCATTATTCTAATACCCTAAAAGCACTAGGAATATCTGATGAGTTTGTTTCAAAGAAAGGCCAAAGTGGAAAAGTACTTGAGTACTTCAACAATCAAGAGACAAAAAGTGTCACTGAAGACAAAGAAAGGTAACATGTATAAGATGTCTGAATGGCTTACCTTTGAAAAAGTATTACCTGCAGAAAAGCACAATTTTATACTATATATATTTTTTGTTCTATATTGTTTTAAAAAGATCTTTTACCCAATAGTAAAAGACGTGTGAACTGTTGTAAAACATACTGATATTTTAACATGTTTGACACATTAACGTTCACATTAAGTATTTTATTTTTAAAGCAGAATAACTTAGATTTCTTACTGACATAAGTAACAAAAATAATAGCATGCTTTCAAATGAAGTTTAAAGAATCAATCACTCAAATTTTGAAATAGGGCAGGCGCGGTGGCTCACGCCTATAATCCTAGCACTTTGGGAGGCCGAGGCAGGTGGATCACAAGGTCAGGAGATCGAGACCATCCTGGCTAACATGGTGAAACCCCGTCTCTACTAAAAATACAAAAAATTAGCCGGGTGTGGTGGCGGGCGCCTGTAGTCCCAGCTACTCGGGAGGCTAAGGCAGGAGAATGGCATGAACCTGGGAGGCGGAGCTTGCAGTGAGCCGAGATCGCGCCACTGCACTCCAGCCTGGGTGACAGAGACTCCGTCTCAAAAAAATAAAAAAATAAAAATTTTTGAAATAAATTAATTTTCAGGAATATTAAATTTCTCAATGGGCACTTTTATAGCATTTTCTTTCTTTTTTTTGAACTGTCTTGATAACAAATTGGAATTCATACACTTGAGGAAGACTGGCTACATGGTGGCATACTTGCAGAGGGTTTGTTTACTTTTAAACTAACTCATTTTTCCTTTGAAAGATTGATAAATTTCTTCCCCTAGCTTTAATGAAGAAGAAAAAATAGAAGAAAGAGAGAATGGGGAAGAAAATTATTTTATTGATACCAACAGCCAGGATTCTTACAACGAAAAAGATGAAGCCAATGAAGAAAGTGAAGAAGAGAAATCTGTTGAAGAATCACACTGAATCATCAAGGTCTCCTCTCTATGCCCTTGCTGTTGTTTGCAGCGTCAGGGTGTCAGCAGCTGCATTTGTGTTTAGAACATCTGTGGGGATGCCTCTGATATGTGCAGGGCTGTTGATCAAAGTCATCTGTAGCCTGAAAAGCCTGAATCCAGCTGATTGGTCATTTGATCAGTTAGAGTAAGGCTTTGCCTATTCAGTTTTAAAAATCACTGTATATGATCTGTTTGCAACTACGATTTTGTATTTTTAAAAAGTGTTTCAGAACCACAGCTGTCACAAACTGATTAGTTTTAAAAAAATACATTATTCCATTAATTTTACTGGAAAAAATGGCGTAGTATTGAAAGCAGAGAGAAGTATTGGTCTTTGGTGATTTACTTTTTAAAAATTTTGGAAAGTGTGAATCAGTAAGTATTTTTAATTATACTATTTGCCCATTCTTTTTCTCTGCAATACATTTCACAGAATAAATCCTCGAACTTGTTTTGCTGCTCTGAGCCATTTTTAAAAGTATAGAAAAAAAATAGATACTTGCAAATTTACATTTATTTTTGCACTGAAAGTTTACTGTTAAATTGTCTACACCATCATCCCTTTTTCTTTTTATCCTTAGTTCTAGTCCAAATTATTTTTGATATTATTGGGAAAGTTTTTATACTAGCTTTTTTAACCCTATGTATTATTACAGATGGAAGGAATTATGGCATGTGCTAAATTAGGGGCAAGTATCCCTGTTTTATATATGATGAAATTGTGCATAATAACTTGGCTAAGGCAAGTCTTCAAAGTAATTCAGATTTAATTCTTTACTGCTAGACCCAGTTGTGTTCAACTTTTTACATATTATTGCCAACACGCTTTGTCTCTCTGTGTACAATGTTAATCTGATTTTATAAATCTATAATTTTTTTCTGTAAGCAAATTTTTGTTTTAAAATTTGAAGTCAGTCATAAATATAATACAGCATAAGACATTTTCTTCTCTAAAAACAATCAGCATCATTTTAAAAGGATGAACTAATACAGGTGTATGTAATAGCAGTGTTTCCCAACTGGCAATTTATGCTTTAAATTAAAAAATAAGGTCGTTTTTCTCCATTAGGGGCAAATGTTTACTCGTAATTTTCTCCCTACAGTTTGTGTTAAATTGCTTTTCACTATTATTATATTGTAAACTCCTTGGGAGTTGGCACCACTTAAAAATTCATCTTTGTATTCCCTTAATATTTGGCACAGGATTGTACATATGGTAGGTACTTAATAAAGGTTTGAATGAATGTGTAGATGAATATGGTTTTTATACACTTACAGCTACTTCAGAATGAGTACACATGGGATTAAAAACATTTCCCTCCTAGCTCATTGGGAACCTGTGTAACACAATCTGCAAATTGTAATAGTGCTTAAAACATTACTTGCTTTCAAGGATTCACGCCTGTCCCTTCTCAATTTCATGGGGAGAATATGGACTTTGGTCATGAAACACTTGGCTTCAGGACCAATCTCGTTTTCTTACCTTTAAAAAAATGGGAATAGTACCTATCTTGAGTGGCCGTGGGAAGGACTGGATGAAATCATGTATGGAAAGGTCTTTGCAAACTGTGATATACAAATGATGGTGTCAGAAGACAGAATATTCCTGAGGAAAATATTAACTTAAAATTCTTGTACTTAAATGAGATACACTGTGATTTACATATTATTTTGTTAGAAATAACTTTTGAAGCACTTTGTTAGACATGATCTGGTAAACACAGAACCAAAGTTAAAAAGAGAGAGAGAGACACTGACAGCTTCAAATCATTCTATGCGTATCACTGTTTTCTTAAGAAAGCCGTCAAATTGACAGCTGAAAGATTACTTTAGCAGGTCACATTACACAGTGATGGTCAGAAGTCAATTGGTTAAATCAAACATGTTTTCAGGTGTTAGGTAACTGAAAATTTTTTACATTTGTATCATCTGAATTGGCTCCAGAATTCCTTTTGCTTATGGGATTTTACTTTATACAAGATTAACCTAACATCAAGAAAAAGGTTATGCTCTTTTTTTCTTTCGTAATATTACTGGATACCCTATGACTTCATATTTATTTCTGCAGAAGAAATGGCCTGGGGACTTGTTGGAGAATTAAGTTATTTTAGACATACACAAACACATGTATATATGTATCTATATATATGATGGAAGGCTGGATGCAGTGGCTCATGCCTGTAATCCCAGCACTTTCGAAGGCAGAGGAAGGCGGCTCACTTGAGGTGAGGAGTTCAAGATCAGCCTGGGCAACATGGTGAAACCCTGTCTCTACAAAAAATACAAAAGTTAGCCAGGCAGGGTGTCATGTACCGAGTAGTCCCAGATACTCGGGAAGCTAAGGTGGGAGGATTGGTTGAGCCCAGGTGGTTGAGGCTGCAGTGAGCCCTGATCACGCCACTCCAACCTAGGTAACAAAGTGAGACCCTGACTCAAAAATAAAATATATATATGATGGAAAATTTCACTTTTTTTTTTTTTTTTTGAGACGGAGTCTCTCACTCTGTTGCCCAGTCTGGAGTGCAGTGGCGTGATCTCGGCTCACTGCAACCCCTGCTGCCCAGGTTCAAGCGATTCTCCTGCTCCACCTCCCAAGTAGCTGGGATTACAGGTGCCTGCCACCACGCCTGGCTAATTTTTGTATTTTTAGTAGAGATGGGGTTTCACCATCTTGGCCAGGCTGGTCTTGAACTCCTGACCTCGTGATCCACCTGCCTCGGCCTCCCAAAGTGCTGGGATTACAGGCGTGAGCCACCACGCCTGGCTAATTTTTGTATTTTTAGTAGAGATGGGGTTTCACCATCTTGGCCAGGCTGGTCTTGAACTCCTGACCTCGTGATCCACCTGCCTCGGCCTCCCAAAGTGCTGGGATTACAGGCGTGAGCCACCATAACCGGCCACCAATTTTTCTTTTACTCTGTTGAGTTAGTCTACACAATAAAACAAATGAGCATGCCTTTAAGGGTATCTGGTATTTTTCTCTTACACAGTATTTCTCAAGTTAATTCTAGTCACTTGAGAATAGCAAAGATTTCAACATTTGGACCTAGGCAATAAAAAGTCATTAACTTCAGGCCGGGTGTGGCGGCTCATCCCTGTAATCCCAGCACTTTGGGAGGTTGAGGCAGGCGGATCACCTGAGATCAGGAGTTTAAGACCAGCCTGGCCAACATGGTAAAACCCCGTCTCTACTAAAAATACAAAAAAATTAGCCAGGTGTGGTGGCATGTGCCTATAATCCCAGCCACTTGGGAGGCTGAGGCAGGAGAATCGCTTGAACCTGGGAGGCGGAGGTTGCAGTGAGCCGAGATTGTGCTACTGCACTACAGCCTGGGCAATAAGAGTGAAAACTCTGTCTCGAAAAAAAATAAATAATAACTTTATAAAAATTACTGACCGGGAACGGTGGCTCACGCCTGTAATTCCAGCACTTTGAGAGGCCGAGGGGGGCGGATCACGAGGTCAGGAGACCAAGACCATCCTGTCTAACATGGTGAAACCCCGTCTCTACTAAAAATACAAAAAATTAGCCGGGCGTGGTGGTGGGTGCCTGTAGTCCCAGCTACTCGGGAGGCTGAGACAGGAGAATGGCGTGAACCTGGGAGGCAGAGCTTGCAGTGAGCCGAGAGCATGCCACTGTACTCTAGCCTGGGCGACAGAGGGAGACTAAGTCTCAAAAAAAAAAAAAAAAATTACCTCTGCTTCAAAGAAAAATGTATGCCCTTCTCAACCAACTATCACATGTGTATATGTGTGTTTTAGTGGTTGTTTAGAAGGGAGCAAGTTATTGTGAAATGAAGTTTTTGTCAATTTGACAAGATTTAGACTATAATATTATAGTGTCAAAGTTATTACTTTGTCCTAAATGCTTTAGGCAGTCTCATTTCTTGTCACTTATATGTAGTCCTGATGTGGCCTGTGGCTGGCTAACTTACCTGTATTGTTAGAAAAGTTATAGGAATAACTTTTTTAATTTTTAATTTTAATTTTAATTTAGCTTAGAGACAGTGTCTCGCTATGTTGCCCAGGCTGGTCTCAAACTCCTGGGCTCAAGTAATCCTCCTGCCTTGGCTTCTCAAAGTGTTAGGATTACAGGCATGAGCCACCATGCCTGGCCAGGAATAACTTTTATGTTATAGCAACTTTGTTTTTAAGGGAGGAAATAATAATCAGGGTCACAGTATATAGTGTGTTTTTAAATTTTTACTTAAAAATTACAATATTCTGCCAGGCACAGTGGCTCACACCTGTAATCCCAGCACTTTGGGAAGTTGAGGCAGGCGGATTACTTGAGGTCGGGAGTTTGAGACCAGCCTGACCAACATGGTGAAACCCTGTCTTTACAAAAAATACAAAAATTAGCCAGGTATGGTCGTGGGCACCTGTAATCCCAGCTACCCAGGAGGCTGAGGCAGGAGAATCGCTTGAACCTGAGAGGCAGAAGTTGCAGTGAGCTGAGATCATGCCACTGCACTCCAGCCCGGGCAACAGAGCAAGACTCTGTCTTAAAAAAAAAAAAAAATTCCAACATTCTGGCCAGATGCAGTGGCCTACACCTGTAATCTCAGCACTTTGGAAGGCTGAGATGGGAAAATCACTTGAGTCTAGGAGTTCAAGACCAGCCTGGGCAACAGAGTGAGATCCTGTCTCAGGAAAAAAGAAAAAAAGATATTCAGATTCTATTTTACAACTAATATAGATGGAGTAAATGAAAAATAAAACTATGGCTTGTAAAATTTTCTAGTTAAGAAAGCAGATATACTAACATTTAGATGTCTACTTTATTTTTTCATTTGTGTAACAACTAAGACTGTGGTCCTTGGCAAATTATAAATCTCAATAAGAGAAGGAGATACAAAATTGAGAAGGAAAAAAATTGGTATATAACTATTAAAAGTCAAGGCATAGCCGGGTGCGGTGGCTCACGCCTGTAATCCCAGCACTTTGGAAGACCGAGGCAGGCAGATCACAAGGTCAGGAGTTCAAGACTAGCCTGGCCAATATCGTAAAACCCCATCTCTACTGAAGGTTCAAAAATTAGCCGGGCATGGTGGTGGGCACCTGTAGTCCCAGCTATTCTGGAGGCTGAGGCAGGAGAATCACTTGAACCCGGGAGGCCAGGGTTGCAGGGGGCCGAGATTGTGCCACTGCACTCCAGCCTGGGTGACAGAGCAAGACTCTGTCTAAAAAAAAAAAAAGAAAGAAAAAAAGTCACAGCATAAAATGCATGCTTATATCTAACTCTGAAAAGATATACCAGAAAATAAAAATGTTAATAGAGTTAGCCTCTAAGAGCCTGGGAATAGGTGATGGAAGAGAGACTTCATTTTTTTGTTTCTTCCTTTTCAACACTTGCATATGTTAAAGAAAAATATAAACAAGGCTTTAGCTTTGTAGGAAGGTATTTTCTAGTCATATCTTCTAGATGTGCCCATCACCTAATGTCAAGAATTATCAACTCACAATTAAGTTTATTT